CGTTCGGCACACAAACCTAAACCACCGTTCCTCAACACCGTGGGGGACGGTGCCTAAACGAACGCCAGAACGCCGTGTTCACCGCGCTGTGAATTTCAAATAGATTGCGAATCTCCAACAAAGAAAACACGATCTTTAAGTTTGACTGGTTGCACCTGGGTAATTACCATTTGTTTCAAAGACCACGGGATAACGCAGAATTCGACGATGATATATAGTATTGTAATTCTCCACTGGGGCTATGAAAATTGGAGGATATGGTGAAGGTAATTTCAAAAACTACATATATGTCCAGAGTGTACACCATGCATACATGTCGTGGTATACCTCGTATATCTAGTGGTACTCTCTTAGTATACCCGCCTTCGGCGGGAGGCTATTGCTTAACTATTTCGATGGTATTGAATATATATACTGTGCGTGATTATGTTTAAAATAAATGTAACGCACATCCAAGAAATGGGATCATGTGAATATAGACAAGGAAATGTTTCACATATTAGATACAAACACGCACATAACTGGAAGCGAAAATTTGTGACAATTATCCAGCATTACACGTGAGAGCATCTATACAATATACAACATTAAACTCGAACAAAAAATTGCAACAAATGCACTCTTATAAATATTTTTAGTATCAAACATCAAACGTTATTATAGCAGTGTGGTTTGTGATATGTACATTTTCATTACGCAGTGGATTTATGTTTTAATTAACATGATTGTTTCATCCCATTGCAGATGAGGTTACTGATGATTACAAATACTTACTTCTCAAAGAGTTGGACTTACTTAAATCAATCTCATCCCATGCACACATTGTGACGTTAATTGGATGTTGTACACAGACGGTATGTCAGTTTATTTTTCATAACAATCCTGTCATTGCAATATTTTTTACGATCCACATTACCAAATATATTCCTATTAGTTATATTATGGCATCGTTACTGAATCTTTGCTTCGTTTTGTCTTTCTATCAGGACCCATATGTGTAGTCCTTGAATATATGGCTTTAGGCAACCTCCAAACGTTTCTTCGTGAAGAAAAATCAAATATGGGAAATAACTATGCCAATCTAGGAAAGCGTGTGACCACTTTGTCTCAACACAACCGTGTCGTTTTTTCACATCAGATATCTATGGCAATGGAATTTATTGAAGGAAAAGGGGTTAGTGAGTGAGCATTTCATTTCTTCATATTAAATATAATTATGGGAAAAGCTTGGAAGATAGTCTTGTTGCAATATAACACATTACCAATAATATATTACTCGCCAAATTATTATTTTTTCATCCCATCCAGTGTGTTCATCGAGACTTGGCTGCTCGCAATGTACTACTAAATGAAAAGCTTGTATGTAAACTATCTGGATTTGAATTGGCAACTACTGTTCTTGATCAACGAGAATTCGAGAAAAGAACGCAGGTAAGCAACGGTTTTTAGACGAAAC